ATATATATATATATATATATTAATCCAAGCAACCCTGCAAAAAGATTATTTCATTCTTTCACCCTATTTGTTATGTACCTACTCAGTACAGCCTTTAGAGTCAGCCAGCCCTGTGTTTTTATCTTGAATAAATCGCTAAACTCTCTCAGCTTTGTTTTCCTAATCTGTAAAATGGGTAGATAATACACATAAAACTCTTAAACTCACGTCTGATACATACCAAGTACCTAAATGTTAACTGTGTATAAGGGGCAGTGCTAGGTACTAGGGCAGTGCTAGAATAAAATGTATCTTTATTTTTCCATGTTTAATATTTACTTCCTCAAGTGGCAAACACAAAAAGTAATGTAAAGTTATATTAAACAAATAAAACCAAATCTATAATCTTGTTAAAATCATTTTTCTTTTTCTGTATTTTCTTTGACTATTAACTTTACTTTGCCCAGTCTCCCTAACTTAAATATAAACTATGATTCTTCCCTTTTCCTTTTCCTTTTCCTTACATACTGTTACATTTACATTACATCGTATCCATTTAACCTCAGAATTCCTTCATCTCCCTGCCCCTTGCCTCTAATAGAGTACCCTTATCTCCCATGTGTATACATGGTAGTGAGTTACTTAAAATAGTGTGAAGCAGTTTTTTCTACATAAGCAAATGAAACCATTTTCCTATTTCTTCTGCTTCTGTTTTATCCACAGTTTTGGGTTGTTTTCACCACTAATCCCATCTGCCCAACCTTGTTCTTTCTGTAACTTTTAGAAACCCGATGGAATGAATAAAACCCACTAGAAATTGAAGAAAAGTCATGAAGACCTTGTTATTGTCTCCAAATGTTTTTAGAGAAGAGAAATGGGATCCTTTGGCTTTTGAACTTGAGAACAGATGTTTTTAGCTTTAAAGAGTCTCTTAAGACTAAACAGCCTCCAGGTCAAAGAATAAATACATGTAATACATCTGAAAAATGTGCCTAAAACAACTTTACATTTCTTGTAAAGGGACAAAATCTGTGAAATAAATCTAAGAAGAGAAGTGCAGGGTAACTTTTTTCAGCAGTCCTTCCTGAACTGTAGCAGTTAATAAAAATAGACAGCTTTTTAATTGAGACAAAGTTATTTTCAATACATATATATATATTTTAAAGTAGTATACTTAACCAACTCCATTAGATACCGCAACAGAACAAATAGCTGACCGGAATAATAATTCTTACAATAACAAGATGTTGCATAAATGAGATTCAGATGAAGAAATTAGAAGAACTGTCTTTATAACATTTAAAACAGAAGGGCTGTGTAATCATCTAGCATCTTCTTCATGTTGTAATTGTTTTAACTATGTGATATATAACTATGGGTAACTATGTGATAGGAACTCCAGGAGTCTTTCACATTCTTCTTTTAAGATGAGAGTCAACTGTGGCCACATTGTAATGCCTGTTCTGAGCCACTCTTAGTAGTTAGCAGTCAAGTGTGTGGGTTCTGTTGTGTGTGTATGAGGATTCTTCAAATCTGCAACCCCTGATAATCCTTAGAACCACTTGATACTTCTGCCCCAATTCTCAAATGTAGCCATTCATTACAGTTAGTTTTAAAGGGAGATATACTGGACAAGTAGATAGTCCATCTTTCGACTAAGAAGAGTTTAATGAAAGAGATGAAGTCTGAATCAACAAAGGTTTTGGTTAAGGGTTTGGGTATTATGTTGGAAGACTAAACTCAAAGAGTATTGGGATATCTCTCTTTCCTTGAGTGCCCTGGGATCTGTCTGGACTTCCTTTCTGGCTATTCATGCTGATGCCAAGGCTATTATTGCCTTGCATCAATAGCTGTTCATTAAATTAAGCCATTTTCTCAGAAATGTCAACTCTGTTTGTATAGAGAAAAGCATATAACTAATATGTTTATTACCTTGTTCTCCTAACGAGTTTGAGGGCTGCTCAGCAAGTCTCTGGTATAACTATGGATCATGAACAGATCACCAGCTATTAAAATTTATACTACAAAATGTACTTTAGTAGGGCCTTTAGGGAATAGGAAACTGTAAAAGTACACTGTGGCAGAAGTTTGAACCTAGTTCTTTTGACATCAGCCACTTAAATATTCCAGAATTAAAAATCAGAAAACATTTCTTGTGACATTCCAATTTGTATTGACTAAGTAAAAATGAAAGCCATTCAATACCCACTTTTAGAAGGTAACTATGGAATTATGATAAAATATTAACATTGGTTCTAAAAGCAGATCTAGTGATCTGGTGATGATCCATTGTTATACCAGTCTTGTAGAGTAGCCATAGATAGCTTATATCAGTAAATAATTATAGTCTAATGCTGTAGACATTGGCTGATGCTTAGGGTATTAAATGCTATAAATTGGACAGGCTGCACATCAATTTAGTGTTTTATGAGTAGTTACATAAAACAACGATTTAATTTTTGTGATATTTCACTTGGCCTTTTGGCTTTTATGAAGAACACGATAATGCTACTAATTGATAGAGCTACTTACTGTAGTTTTTGCTGTTAAAACTTATGACTATAATTAGTTCCTTTCTCCCCCACATAATTTTCTGCTCAAAATAATTTTTCATATTTATTTATAGCTAAATATTTCTCTATGGTGGTCACAACATGGAGGTTCTAAGAGAAGCCATAAAGAGGCTCCTTCTGCATTGGATGCAGGTTCAGTTTTGCTAGTGCAGCTCTGACAATGAGGAGCACATTTTTCTTTTAGGTTCTGATGTTTACCTTCCCCACCTTAATCTCTTCATATTTCATTCTTCCATTAAATTGAATCACCGTCCTTTTAAATTTAAAGGGCAAACTTGTCATTACTTATGCCTTACTTTGTGTGAGAACCAAGTCATTACTAAAATTAAGTGAGAAAAGGAAGGCATTTTTATTTTCTTTCTCGCCATTAAAACTGTTTAAGGGCAGTATAGAAGGGTAGAGAAGTGGCAACAGAATGACCTGGGTATCTTTTTCAAAATAGCATACTCACACACATCCTCACGTTTCACCTTACCTTATCCACATTATATTCTCACTTGTACCCTTACTCATACACTTCAATGGTAATGGCCTGCTTCCCACCCTAATTTCCATCAACCTCTTTTCCCACTTGTATCGAACAAATATGCAGTCTAAGTAAAAACGATGCCTACTTTACGAAAGTAGCTTCAAATCACCTATAATCCCAGTGCTTTGGGAGGCTAAGGCAGGCAGATCACTGGAAGTCAGAAGTTTGAGACCAACCTGACCAACATGGTGAAACCTTGTCTCTACTAAGAATACAAAAAATTAGCCAGGCGTGGTTGTGGGCACCTGTATTCCCAGCTACTCAGGAGGCTGAAGCAGGAGAATAGTTTGAAGCCAGGAAGCAGAGGTTGCAGTGAGCTAAGATCGTGCCACCACAATCTAGCCTGGATGACAGAGTGAGACTCCATCTCAAAAAAAAAAATAAATAAGTTGCTTCAAATCAAATACTCCTAACCATCCATCCCTTCTGTATAAAAACTCTTTAGGTACCACTGTATCATCCCTTCTCCATCTGGGAACCATTAGAGAATATAGTTTTTTATTTTCATACTTTCTGTGATGAAGAAACAATTATTCTGGTTAAAGGTTCAAATGTATGGTACCTATTAAACTTTTTCATTCCTTTTTTAGGTATGATCCTGATATTCTACTAGGGTATGAGATTCAGATGCATTCCTGGGGTTACCTCTTACAAAGGGCTGCTGCTTTAAGTGTTGACTTATGTCAGATGATCTCTCGGGTGCCAGGTATATATCATTGTGAATGTTTTGTCATTCAACTATAGAGCAAACTGTAAAGAAAATAAAGACAAAATGTTAAAGAGTACTAATGTTCTAGCTCAATTTTTTAGTATTGCATAAGTTTTAGATATAGCATAACTCCATTGTAGAAAAAATTTAAAAATGTTCTAGTCTCACTGCTATATATACTGTTAGTATAGATGTTGGGTTTTCCTTTCAGTCACTTTTCATAATAGATATGTAGAGGTTTTAAAATAATTATACCATATATTCCATTTCTATTACACTTCCTTCATCTAATGTCTTGCCACACATATTTTTCTGTATTATGAAATAGTCTTCATAATTATTATGAAGCCACATAGCATTACTTTGACTTGTACCATAATTTTATTGTTGGTCTGGTTCTATTTTTTTTTAATCCATTTTGTTGGTGAAGAAGGACGGATGGATTGAGGAACACTAATAATTAATTAATTGTTGATTTTTATTTGAATATCAGGCTAAAAATATTGCCGAAGTTTTGAAGCCCATTCCCCAGAGTTTCATTCTGATTGAAAAAGGGAGTAATAGCCCGGGTACAGTGGCTTACGCCTGTAATCCCAGCACATTGGGAGGCCGAGGCGAGCGGATCATCTGAGGTCAGGAATTTGAGACCAGTCTGGCCAACAGGGTAAAACCCCATCTCTAAAAAAAATAAAAATAAAAGGAGTAATAATATTCACAACAAAATTATTGATAGTTTATAATGTACTTTTTAAAATTATGTTTTCTTTATAAACATAGGATTTTTAATAAATTTGTTTCAAAGGGTTCCCACAAGTCTGACTAAAACAAAGTAGTGTATACTTTGGAAAAAGTTGAAACTGGAAGATTCCATAACAGTAAATATTTTTAGCTTTACAAAAAATTGGAATAAAAAGGTCATATGCAGTGGCTCATGCCTGTAATCCCAACACTTTAGGATTGCTTGAGGCCTGGAGTTCAAAACTAGGCAACAAAGTGAGGCCCCATTTCTACCAAAAAAAAAAAAAAAAAAAATTAGCCAGGTGTGATAGCTTGTGCCTATAGTCCTAGATATTTGGGATACTGAGGTGAGATGATCACTTGAGTCCAAGAGTTCAAGACTGGTGATTGCACCACTGCACCTCAGCTTGGGCAATAGAACAAGACTGTCTTAAAAAAAAAAAGGAAGCAAAGGGCAGAGATGCTTTAAGTTTAGCTTCTCATTGCATGAATTTTTGTGTAGCTTGTGTGTCCTTTGCATGATAGGAATAGTGGTATATCTTTTTTTTTTCAACATCTTTTTTGGGTTTTAAATATTCTTGCCTCAGTTTATTCATCCATAAAATAGGGATAATGGAACTTATTTCTTAGAGTGATTGTGAAGAACTTAAAACAGTACCAGAGTATATGTTATATTGTTTGCTAAATGAAAAACAAACTTTTAAATGTTATCTCTTTAAGATTAAGAGAATCGGGTGGGTGGTTGTACAGGTTGTACATGGTCTTTGGATTCAGATAATCCTACTTTAGAATAATAGTTCTCTTACTGTAAGATCTTGGACAAGATATAACATTGCTGAGTAGAATTTTCTGTCATACAAAAAGAAAATTATACTAACTTCGTAAGTGGTTGTGTTAAAGGAAATAATGTTTGTATTAAAAGAAATAATGGTAAAATTCTTAGAATATAATAAACATTTAATATAGTAAATATTTTTATTCTGGAATCTCTAATCATCAACATTCACATACACTTAGTGTTATATAGGAGAGACACATTTTAATTTATATTCTAGGTAAAAGTCATCTCCTAAGAGACTAGACTCAGAACTCTATTTGCTATGAGTAACTCTTCATCTAGTTCTCCATATGCATTCAAGAGAATTTCATCCTGAATATGAACATGATGTCAACAAATTTTCAGAGAATCGTTTAGTTTAAAAATTGCACCAGTTTTTTTCCAAGAAATGACCGGATTAACTGTGGACCTTTCTCATGCTAAAACCAAAGAAATGTGAGCATTAGGTGTTTATAAAGAGCATCAGGCCGGGCGAGATGCAACTGTAGTCCCAGCTGTTTGAGCAGGTGAGGCAGGAGGATTGCTTGTGGCCAGGAGTTTGAGGTTGCAGTGTGCTATGATTGCATCTGTGGAAGCCACTGCACTCAACCTGCGCAACAAAGTGAGTTGTCTCTTTTTTTAAAAAAAAAGGTAGTGCCAAAAATTACCAAATTTAAAGAAAAAAGGGTTTCTTATTTAAATATAGAAAGAAGGAGTGAGGGAGAAATTTCAGGTATATTTATTAGAGAAAATTTTTTCATACATTGTGAATTCTATTTCATATTTAATATTCTTTTTTTTTTTTTTTTTTTTTTTTGAGACAGAGTCTTGCTCTGTCACCAGGCGCCAGGCTGGAATGCCGTGGCGCAATCTCGGCTCAGTGCAATCTCTACCTCCTATGTTCAAGCAATTCTCCTGCCCCAGCCTCCTGAGTAGCTGGGACTATAGGTGTGCGCCACTACACCCAGCTAATTTTTGTATTTTTTAGTAGAGACAGGTTTTCACCTTATTGGCCAGGATGGTCTCGATCTCTTGACCTCATGATCCGCCTGCCTCGGCCTCCCAAAGTGCTGGGATTACAGGTGTGAGCCACCGCACCCAGCTATATTCTTAATGTTTGTTTTCATTTTCCTTGGCATAATTTTCTTGAAAGTTTGTTTTCTGTGAGCCCTGATACAATCTGTTTTCATTTCTGTAGATGACAAAATTGAGAACAGATTTGCAGCTGAAAGAGATGAGTATGGATCATATACAATGAGTGAGATAAATATTGTTGGCCGAATCACACTAAATCTTTGGAGAATCATGAGAAATGAGGTAGGTGCCTTGTCTAAAATTTTGTTTGGAAATAAGATATTCTGTCAGTATGATTTAATTATTATAGATTATCAGTAAGATTTACTGTGTAGCATATGCATTTGTCAATTATTTTTGTTATACTTAGAGTTAAAATAGTACTTTCTAAAATGCAAAGCTACAGAGGTATTAGTCCTTGATGTTTTAAGTGAATTTTAATTTTTTTCTTCTTTGTGTCTAAGGTAGCAATAGCTAGAAAGGTCTGTAGCTATAATAAAACATTGGGGCCAGGTGCAGTGCTCACCCCTGTAATCTCAGCACTTTGGGAGGCCCAGGCAGGGGCATCCCTTGAGCCCAGGAGTTCTAGACCAGCCTGAACAACATGGCAAGACCCCATCTCTACAAATAATAACTAAAAAAACATAGCTGGATGTGGTAGTACACACCCATGGTCCCAGCTACTTGGGAGGCTGAGGTGGGAGGATCACTTGAGCTCAGGCAGCCAAGATTGTAGTGAGCCATGATCATGCCACTGCACTCAAGCCTGGGCAACAGAGCGAGACCCTGTTTCAAAATAAAATAAAATATTGTGTTGTACATGTTGAATATTGTCTAATTTCACCATTTTTTTCACTTAAATTATTTTTGCACTTAAGGCCAGCTGAATTCAGCGTGGCCTTGTTGATTTGTTATAGTAAGAAAAATTTAGAAATAGGAAGGAGCTTCTCAAAAGAAGTATATTTAAATATTGGGTCAGATTAATAAGATAAAGGGACAGTACTTTGAAATAATTAATAATTATGGCTTTAGGGACTCAGATAAGGATTTTTAGTAGAGTAATTTCAACAAACTATCCCATTAATTTGCATCCACTTAGAAAAATAATTATTTCACAAAAAAAAGTAAGATCATAGGATTTTCCTGGATAATATTTGCCTCCTTGAAGTTATCTGATTTCTCTTATTTGAAATGTAAAAACACCGTACATGGTGGCTTACACTTGTGATCGCAGCTCTTTGGGATGCTGAGAAAGGAGCAGATAGCTTGAGGCCAGGCGTTCCATCAAGACCATCCTGGGAAACATAGGGAGACCCTGTCTCTATTAAAAATAAGATAAACAATTAGGCCGGGCACAGTGGCTCATACCTGTAATCCCAGCACTTTGGGAGGCCAAGGATCACAGGTCACTTGAGCCCAGGAGTTTGAGACTAGCCTGGGCAACACGGCAAAACCCCTGTCTCTACCAAAAACTACAACAAGTTAGCCAGGCATGGCGGCGTGTGCCTGTAGTCCCAGCTACTTGGAAGGCTGAGGTGGAGGGATCACTTGAACCTGAGAGGCAGGGGTTGCAGTGAACTGAGATTATACCACCACATTCCAGTCTGGGCAACAGAGCTAGAACCTATCTCAAAAAAAAGCAAAACAAAAAGATACCTACTGTAAATTGGTTATTCTTAAATTTTGGACTTTGAATAATATCAGCTAAAATGTTTATATTTAAAAGAAAGCACATTCTTCAATTGCTTCTGCTCTTTGAAACTACTTTCTCATTAGACACTTTCTATTGTATACTTATTATTCGTTATTATCTTCTTGGCTCTTTGGATTTATATAAAACATTTGACTTTCTAAGTATGCCCTATGCAATATACAACGTGAATCTGCTTGAGAATAATTTTATCTTGTTGTGTTGTTCTTAAAATAATAGAAGAGTATGAGAGTCCCCAGTGATTTAAAGTAACTTCTAGTGATATGGGATAGGATATGGGAGATACAGAGATTGTGGTGCATTTGGTGTGTATATTTCATTATATATTTTTATTTATTTATTTTATTTTTGAGATGGATTCTCGCTTTGTCACCCAGAGTAGAGTGCAGTGGTGCAGTCTTGGCTCACTGCAACCTCCACCTCCCGGGCTCAAGTGATTCTTCTGCCTCAGCCTGCCAAGTAGCTGGGATTACAGGCCCCCATACCTGGCTAATTTTTGTATTTTTAGTAGAGATGGGGTTTTACCTTGTTGGACAGACTGGACTCTTGACCTCAAGTGATCTGCCTGCCTCAGCCTCCCAAAGTGCTGGGATTATAGGTATGAGCCACAGCCCTGACCTCATTATATATTTTAAACTATAGTCTGATATTGGCTGAGATGAGCACATACATTAAGTGTATAAACAGAAAATTAAATTACTGAATCCTAGTTTCAGAGGTCTTTTTATCCCTGTATATCCAAAAGGCAATAGTAGCAAATTCACTAGTAGCTTAAAATCACAAATTGCAGAATAAATATTTTTTCAAAGTTCAGGGCCTTCTCTAGTCCTCACTGAAAATTGAGGGTCAAATGTCTTCTCTCATTTAGGATGAATGTATAATATCTAGGATCTTTATGTAAATATGGGAAACAACTATAAGAAAGTTATGAGCTGGATAACTTACCTATTTTTTAAAATCTGGAGCTGGGTACAGTAACACACACATATAGTTCCAGCTACACAGGAGGCTCAGGCAGGAGGACTTTTTGAGGCCAGGAATTCGAGGCTGCAGTGCACTGTTTCATTATGCCTGTGAATAGCCACTGTACTCTAGCCTGGGAGATAGGGCAGGACCCCATCTCTTAAAGTAATGATAATAAATTTTGTTTGTTTTTTAATATGTAGGTACTAGATTTCTTTCTCCTACTTTTACTTTGAACATAGAATTCCTGCAGTTTCCTTTGGCCTTTGAATTTGTAGTGACAAACAAAACACCTCTTAAATAGTAATGCTTATTAGATATTTGTTGACTGCTTAAATGACAATAAATGGCTCCTCCCCAGACACTTACACTTAGAGGCCTTCTGGATGTCAACTTAATGTAGGCTTTTCAAGAATTTGCCAAGTGGGTTGGAAACAGACTTGATTCAATTCAACAAATATTTACTGAATGCCATCTCTAGCGCACTGGTTGAGGGGCCTGGGTTTAGATAAAGTAAGAGTATAGCAGGTTCCTTTTGTGACAGACAGGAAGGCAGAATATATGGGTATGAATGTTGGTAGGTAGAGATGTTCCTATTTTACTGAGAAGACGAATCACAAGAGAACTTCCTTGTGATTCATCATCTCAGTAAAATAGGAATTACTGTTCTTAGCTGAAACTGAGAATTATGGAGAGGCTTTGGGGTTTGAAGAGAGATGAGTTTGAAATGGTTATTAGGAGAATTTGAGAGAAAATGTTAACACTGCACCACATTAAGAGCCCATTTGAGATTTGTGTTAGGAAATTAAAGTGATACCCACCAGCTATGTTCAAATTCACAAATGCAAGTTACATTTGACTATACGTAAAGGATTGTGGATTTGCTTTAAAAAAAAGAAGCTGCAGCAGCAGCAGGAGAGGGACAAGGGAATGAAGGGTACATGCAGTGGAATGATTACCATAATTGGCTACGAAATTTAAGCTAAATAAGGAGCAGAGACATCAAAGCATCAAGGGGAGTAAGCTGGAAGCAAAGGAGATGATGGTCAGAGAATGGGATGCATGTGATTTTGGAGGGAATACAGTTATTGGTAATAATAGATCCGGGTATGATTATGGGAGCGGGTAGCTTAGGTAGGATGGAGGACAAAATTATTAGAGAAGAGTTTAAGGAGTCAAGGAGTATCTTTGTTTTCTTCCCACATAATTGTTACACTTACTGCATATAAAATAACAGTAGTCTTTTTCCTTTAAAATTCAAGTAGATATAGTGCCATTCACCTCTGGAATATAGTACTGCAGTGGAGAAATCTAAGGTCCAGCTAATTGTATCTTTGATTATTGCTCCTGTCTCCATATTAGGCTTTCCTTTAGGAACCTAATTATATGTTAACATTCTGTTCTCTGTTTCCCATATCTTCCCTTTTCTCATTTTCATCTTTTCATCCTCTTTATCTGCATGCTGAGACATTTCCATATTCCTGACTTGACTTTTAGTAGAACTATTATGTTATTTACTGCTTTCCATATGGGTTTTCATGCTGTTAATGATTATATAATCCTTCCTCATTTAATCCCATGGACTTTTTCCTTATTCTGTTTCTCTCTACCTTTTTACAACCCATGAGGGGCATCTGTTTATATGTATACACATACAAGTACATACACACACTGTGAAATGTGGTACATTATAGTTCTGTTCTGAAGATTGACAGAAATTGTAGATAAAGTAAGACCAGTTTGAGTGACTGCACTGAGATAAGATTAACATTCAATCCCTATTTTGTACCTCCTGGATCACAGGAGTGGAAAAGAAAGTAATTTAAAATTATAATGTAATATAAAAATGTGAAGTGCTGTTTGAGCTATTTCTCAGAATCTCAAACTGACCTAAGAATGGAGACTGTTAGTTCCTTAATTTCCATTTTGCATTGAAATACCTGCCATTGTCTAGACTGCTTTTGTCTTGCAGATATTTCAGAGAAATCGTCTAGCTGGAAGTACATATTTATTAATTTGGGCCCTTTAACAGGATTCTTTACCCATTAACATAGCTTTCACTTACATATTTTGAAGAGGGGCAGACATTTCTGACATTTTAATCTTTTGGAGTGAAATTGAGTGGCTCTATAATGCCTGTGTAGTGGGGTTTAGTAACTAATGTAATTCTTGTAAGCAGAATGCCTGCCTTTAACTAGATAACTCATCCTCAAATCTGTGGAATTCCATTAATCAGCATGTCATCAAGAACCAAAAAGTAAGTATGGAAAGAACAAAAAATTAATTTTCTTGACAATGCTTCTTTCTGTCAATATATATATTAGCATAGAGTATAAAAAAATGGTAAGAACTAGGATCTCTTAAAATAAGTATTATATGGCCAAGTTGAATCTCATCAGGTCTGTTTTTTCTAAGTAAATAATTTTCCAATTTGTTATGAACATTTCTGTCCAGTTGGCTCAACATAGTTTTGAATTATGATTCAGTTGTACCACAAATCAATTTTACAAGTAGCTTTATTATCTACTATAAAAATTTTAAAGTGATATTGGTATCTTTTAGAACCAAATTTGCTACATAAACATAGCATTATTTTAATCGTGTTTTTCCTTTTTTTTTTTTTTAGGTGGAGTCTTTTTTTTTTTTATTTTTTTTTTTATTTTTTTTTTTTTTTTTTTTTTTTTTTTTTTTTTAGGTGGCTCTAACTAACTACACCTTTGAAAATGTGAGCTTTCATGTGCTTCATCAGCGTTTTCCCCTCTTTACCTTTCGAGTCTTGTCAGATTGGTTTGATAATAAGACGGACCTATACAGGTACTGTTTTATAACTCTGAAGAGGATAATAGAAAGTCTTCATTATTGGGATGTAATATATATGCAATAAAATGCGCATTTAAAGTGTATTGTTCAGACCAGTTGCAATGGCCCATGCCTGTAATCCTACCACATTGGGAGGTCGAGGCAGGTGGATCACCTGAGGTCAGGAGTTCAAGACCAGCCTGGCCAACATGGCGAAACCCCATCTCTACTAAAAAATACAAAAATTGGCCAGGCATGGTGGCGCATGCCTGTAATCACAGCTACTTGGGAGGCTAAGGTACGAGAATCACTTGAACCCAGGAGGCAGAGGTTGCAGTGAGCTAAAATTGCGCCACTGCACTCCAGCCTGGGTGACACAGCAAGACCCCGTCTCAAAAAAAAAAAAAGCAAAAAACAAAGCTGAGGAGAAGTTATACACCCATAAATAAAACTTGATACTTAACACTAGAAACTATATTCAGTGGTTTGTTTATAAGCCCTGGAATCTCTAAATGTATGTTTTACCCCCCTTAACTAGGTATTAACCTAGGATGATAACTGTTTTTGACAAGTGAAATAGAGTACTAGAACTAACATCGTATAGAAGGAACTCAGACTAGACAGATCATTTATGTCAAATGAATTATGTTATATGAAGAGACCATGCACTCTTCTTTGGGTAGTCTTGGAAATATCAGACAGCTTTCTTCTTATATTTAAGCGAATACTTATCAAAAAAGTAAGTCATACTTACTTTTTCAAGGACGTCTTTTGATTTGCATTTGCTTTCTACACTGTTTTAAGGAAATACATACATATTGTAAGTCAACTTAGAATGAGAAGAACTTGCTAGTCAAGGATTTCTTGTATTAAACCTATAAAACACAAAAGTACCCTAATTTTTTTTTAATAAACCCAGATTTTGGTCTCCTGGAAGCCCCTGATATATATGAATGAGTTATATTCCCAATGTTTTATTGTTTAGAGCTTAGAACACATTTTTTCATAAAATAATGTCTTGTGATTAGATTCCCAAGTCAGCCTATAAATTTTTCCTAATCTCTAGTATTACTGATCTAGATAACTCATAATATCAGCATGATTTTATCTGTCATCCAAGGAATAGTTATGAAATATCATTCTAGTTTCTGAGCCAGGAGGTATGTCCTGGGAGCAGAGTTCTGTAGCTGAAGAAGGTAATATAAGAAATTTTCTTTTCTATTTGCTGAGTGTAGAGCCAATCCACAGAAGAACTTCAGAATAAGTGAATTTTGTACTTGGAATTCTCCTGTCTCCTTTTTTGTCACCTTCTCCCCAGATGAACTATCTCGAAAAATATCCATGCCTTCAAGATACTCTTAAGTTCCCATTTCAGCACTACCCAGGCCTATCCTGAGTAGTACCTGCTTTATGTTTCCCTTCCTCCTTTCCATATCAAAACTTGTATTTATGACCCTTAAGTTTGACAGAGCCTTAGGAGGACGGCATAATTCTTTAACAATAATTAAAAAGGCTTACAAAAGTCAACCTTGTCCTTTAACCATAAGTAAAGGCCACAATTACTCATTCTCTTTGCCAGATAGGAACCGAAAGTAGAAACGATGATGACCTTATTTCAGAAGGATGACGTTTTTAAGTTAAAAAGTCTACATACATATTATATATATTATATATATGATATATTAATTATATATATCATATATATCAATTATATGTTATGTATAATTATATTATAATAAT